ATATGCGTTTTTGCTGCCTGTTGCAGCGCTCTAGCGCTGCACGGCAAAAACGCATAAAAACTAAAAGGAAAAAGGAAATGGGAGTACGGAAATAGTTGTTATAGGTAAGAAATGTTTCGGTCCATTGAGTATTTGGATCAGCTTTAAGCAATAGTCTGTTTTAACGAATTATGAACACTATTTGTTGTTCAAAACGCATATTTTTGCTTTATAATTTTAAGTACTTTTTATGCGTTTTGTGCTGTGTAACAGCGTTACAAAGCGCATATTGTCATTGGGTTGTCTGTGTGTGTGTGTGTGTTTGTGTGTGTCCCACATTTTGTCCCGCACTTTCAACTCGAGAACCACAAAAGCTAGGCGGCTGAAATTTTGGTATAGTGCTCTCATTTTGTCCCGCACTTTCAACTCGGGAACCACAAAAGCTAGGTGGCTGAAATTTTGGTGTAGTGTTACCCGCCAATGGGTGACGGGGCAAATTTAAATTCAGCCTTCCCGTACCCGCGGCTAACTCGTACGGCCCCGTGAATGTTTTTCACGGGTAATTTAATATCTCGGGAACCACGGAGTCTAGGAGGTGAAACTTTAGGGTATTAACCCCTTGCCCCACTCAACCTTGCCCATTCATTTTTAGTGTTCTCGCCTTTCGGGTACCACCTACGGCCTTGCGAATATTTTGGCGAGTAAACTATTAACTCGGGAATCACGGAAAGATATTCATCCTTCAAGGTTTCGAATTCAGCTTTAATGCGCTGGTGCGTGAAATTCTTAACTGTGTTTCAATGTTTGAACTATTTTTGCATAGACAAAAGTACAAAGCAGTGAAAATCATTAATAGGCAATTGTTCGATGGGCTGAATTGCACAAAAGGCATGATCGCACCGGCTAGTCTGGTGCGCGTTGCTATTTTTTTAAAAGAAGTTGCGAAATTACAGATGATAAAACTGGCACGAGCATCGATGAGCAGCCCCCTTTTGCGATGTCCGGCGATAACACCATCGAAGACGACATCATCATTCCGGCAGTATTCCTGTACAATAAAGAAGGCCTTACATTCATGGAACATCTGCTTCACTATCCGAATGCCCTGGTACGCCTGTCTGACCGGCCTGCAAACCCAGCTTATTTGTTCGAGAAATTTATCGTGGAAGGCCAGTACAGTTATCCCACAAGGAAAATGGATCTTCTGGAAGTATGTTCCCAAAATTTCGATAAATCGTTCTTGCCTGCGGAATTATGTTTGTTTTCTTGACAGCTATTCCTCAGTT